ATTGATTAAGCCAAATGTCAATTGATGATATCTTGGGATGATGGAATGGAAAGAATGAAGAAAAGATGTTAAGAAGTGAAATATTCAAGTAGAAGGACCAAAATAGACTTTTTCCATAGTTGGTAGCACTACCCTCTATGCGGTCGCATGGAGGCAGATCGAGAATCAATTTTCAGAAAATTTTTACTCTATGTGACTGTAAAGAGATGTTCTATGCGATCGCATAGAGCAATTGAGGTCGAATCCCCAGTTTCCTTATTTCGCTGAAATTCTTATGGAAACAAGATTTTTAGGGTCCTATAAAAACAAAAACCCGATCAAAACCAAAACGAAGGGGACGCTGTTTTTACAAGAAAAGGGAGATTTCAAAGGAGAAAACGAAGAGAGAACGAAGAGAGAATAAGAGGAAAACATCGCGCCAATTGAAGATTTGATTGAAACTTGATTCGGGTGATAACGTTTCTTCAGCTATTTTTGTATTCTCTTCTTTTTAGCATATTAGGCTAAATTTTTCATTGCTAGGAGATCAATGAACCTTGCAATACTACTTTTGATTTTTGATTTGGAGATTTGACATATTTAAACACATGTTCCGGAATTGAATGATTTATACGTTTTTATTTCCATATTATTATTGTGCACATAATTATATGATTTTGGTGACCTGTTTTATGCATTCAAAAGAAGGAAAATAGGCTCGACATAGTATAAACCATCATAGGGTCCGATAGGGGATATAAATAAACGTATATGCCTTGTGTGAATTGTTGAATATTCATGAAATCATAATGTATTCCTGTATGTTAGTATTCGTCATAGAGATATAGTCGAATCACATATTGGGTAGGTTTGGCATTGCTCGAGAGAGACTGCTAAATTAAAATAGGAATATTGATTCATCAATTGTGGGAATGTATGTCAAATTTGCATAATTAAAAGTTGAACGGGTGTTGCTTGAGAATTCGTGATCCTAATACGTTAGTTAATTCATTAATTCCATAAATTCTCGTAGATTGCATCCAGGTCATTTTGCATTTAATATAAGTTTCTCACTCATAATTGCATCATAGTTCACATCTTCCTTAGTTAAATCACAATACATAAATCTTACTTTCGTGTTTCGGTTAAGGTCATAATAGGTTGATTTGAACTAATTCAATCCTTGTGGGATGATACTTGGACTCATAATCCGTTTTACTACTTGTTAACGAATCATATACTTGCGGTGAGTTTTAAATTGAAAGAAATAATTTTGTGAACAATGTCCCTTTAAAATTATTTAACATTTTCCTTGAGTTACACATGATTGCTTATCAATAAGGTATGTCAAACAAACACTAAAATTTATATATTATTCAATTCTATTTATACCATTTACAAAAATGCTCCAATAAATCAAAAATTGTGAACATCTTTTAGATTATGCACATCATGACATGCTTATTAAAATTGAATGACATTGTGAATAAAATTGTAGAAGAAAAAAGTTAAAATTAAATTTATTATATTTGTTCAATATAAAGATGTGAACTTCCATGGTAAAGTAAGCCAATTATTAAGGAAAATACCCTACATAAAATATTCCTGCAAAGTTATTTTGATTCCATTCTCTTCAAAAAGAGCAACTAAACTATGGGCACAATGAATTATTTTATTTTTACTTTTTTATTTCTATATCATGGACGGTATAAAATACTATAATTCTTCTAATTATTTTTTTATATCTTTCGTACATTATTTTATATCTCGATTTTATGCATATGAATTATTGCTTTTCAAACGTATGAATAATTTATTCTATGGTAATTTTTGTTTACTATTTTTCTTGACATAATTATTGCGAATAAAATATTATTTAGTTTAGTCATGCTTTTAACTTCTAAATAAATACTTTTTTGTTAGTAAGAAATAATTTTTTTTTTTTTTTTGGGAGATAATGACTAAATTTTCAAATATCTTTTTCAATCTCCCTTAAATTGGTGACAAGTCCGTTGCAAAGAAATTTTGATGTCCATAAAAGTATGGGAAAATATTGGATGGAATAAATGTGCCCACAAAGGGAGAAAGGCATCTCAAACCCATTCCTTCTTTTCTGGTCCAAATCAAATAATCAATTTGAGAGTGCCGGTTAATGAGGTTATAGATGTTTTGAGGCTTTTCATCGAATTAAACCACGTCTCAACTTTTATGCGAGTCCTATCAATTTATTTGATAAGTAATATTAAATAAAAATAAATAGTACGATAAATAATTTTAATTTTCTTCACTTGTAAAACACTATCTAATTGAGTAATATCAAAATGGGTGAGTGACCCAAGCATGGAGTTACTTAGCCTATTATAAAATCAGATCGAAACCAATCTGGTTACTTTGAGTTGGTTCACTTGTTGATACGCCAATTATTTTGGTCATATTTGCATTATTGGCGGTTTGCGGGCCAATCTAGTCCACGTGTTTTGAAGATGGTTAGGCTAGCCTATTGCAGACTTGAGCTAAGTCTACATACGTGTAGGTTGGTCCGACCAATCCAACTTATTTTCAAATCTCTCTATTAAATACTATATATCAAATATGTTTTGGTTTCAATTTTAAATAGGATAAAACGACAAGATTGTCTAGGTCACATTATTAAATGTTACATATGTAACATAGAATATCATTAACACGACAAGATCAGCCCGCATTATTGTACAATTAAATTACAATTAAGCTAGGAATATTCGAAATACAAAAAGCAGTGGCTATTTTTCTCGTCACCGGTTAGGATGTGGATTCTTATAAGTATTATTGAGGAGAATTAGACCCCTTTTTGAGAATGGTCACAACCTACATGGAATAAAGCAAAGAACTCTGTCTAAGGTTTTTAATGTAAGAATATTTATTTTGTCTGGTTAAAATTTGTGATTAGGATTCTTCCTTATCAAATTCAAGGTCAACAAGTCACCATGTTGCCACTTAATAAAATGTGGACCCCATCTTCAAATCAAAAGTGCTCCACAGAATTGCATGTCAACTCCCAATTGTAAATTCATTTTTTCACTTCGATTTGGCCACTGAATTATACGTGGTGAATAACTTGATTAAGCCCCTGTTTGTCAAATCTCTTGACATTATAAATTAGTGAATTTCATGAAAGGTATGGTTGAAAGTTATAAAAATTACAAATTTAAGAAAATATATGTTAAAAATAAAGTTTGACGAGCTTAAAGTATCGAAAAAGAATATTTATGCACAAAGTTGCTAAAGATCTATAGTAAGGGTGTCAAAGCGTCATGTCTAGGGACGGCAATTCAGCTCCCCGGCTCGAGCCGCCCGTGACTCAGCCTGAAAAAAGCTCGAGCCGGCCCGACTTCAGCTCGGGCCGAGACCGAGCTGATCCGCGAGCCTAAAAAAAAAATAAACCAAAAAGGCCCCACTTGGAGGTAGCACAATGCTGCCTTAAAAAGCAACCGTAGCTAGTCGCCACGAGACTACCTTAAAAGGCAGCTTATTAAAAAAAAAGTAAAGAAAAAGGCGAGCCTATTTGGCTCGGCTCATAAAGGCCCGAGCTGAAAGTTCAAGTCGAGCCTAATTTTTTGTTCGGCCGGAAAAAAGCTCACACATTTTACTCGAGCCTTGAGTTTCGGCTCGTGAGCCGACTCGTTGACATCCCTAGCCATGTCCAAGTCGATCAGTTTTCATAATATTCTTTTATAAAAAATTTATGTTTTCAATTTCATAAAAAAAATGACTTCAAATTTTGATTTGCATGCCGCACTAGTTCATTAAGTGGCATATAAACAGCATGCATTAATGCACTTACAAAAGCTGCTAAGCATGCATTAATATTAAAAAAGGTATATATTTCAAGAAGGCCATGGCTGTAGACAAGTTTTGACACCTCTAGATAAAAGCAGCATGCATTAATGCACTTACAAATGCTGCTAAGCATGCATTAATATTAAAAAAGGTGTATATTTCTAGAAGGCCATGAGTCTAGACAAGTTTTGACACCTCTAGATTAGGCGTAGGATCTGACTTTAGTATATAATTTAAAAATCTCTTAAGGTTTGTCTTTCTTTCAAAACCTTGTTATTTTTTAAGTTGTCTTTTCGCTTGAGACTTTCGAACAAACTAGTCAATTGTGCTATTCCTCTCAATCTGTTTGGCTCAGGAGCACAGCACACTAAAAATTCAGTACAACTAATAATTGATTTTAAGACTTTAGTATTACTCAAGTAAACATTATTCGATTATCTCAGTCTCAATAAAGCTTCCTGTCATGAATAAACTCCTAAATGATTTAATTTTCGTCGTTGAAGATTAATGTAGAATGTGTTAGATAGGTGGGATTAGGCTTTCTTCTCGTTGATTCATTGCAAGTCAAGTATCGACAGTACACATTTTAAAAGGAAGTTATTTGACTCAGTAATAGAATTTGACTAGAGGTTTAAACTATGCTAGATGTTATGACTAGCCATATGGGCAAATCGTCCTTAAAGCAGGTTCTATTGCAGTAGACACGCATATATAAATAAATATATACATACGAGTGAGTTGGCAACGTAAAGAGTGCTAATGGACATCCATCTTCAAATGGGTTTTGAATTATTGCAAAAAAAAGGAGTCAAACCTTGCAAAGAAGAATGGAATTCGGCAATGGATGTGCATTATAAGGAATTGATTCCCATGTGAACATTTGTCATAGCTTTCTAATTTGAACCTCAACTATGTGGAGAAGCCTAATCATCAACAGGGGATATATGCAGCCTACGTGGAATGCACACGTGTTATTCCACATCATCCACTCGAGCCATCAACGTCAAGAAGTGACGTAGGCTAAATATCCTGTCACGTCGCAGATAACATCTTCCCCTCATAACACCTTACCTAAAATGGATACAGAATATGGAATAATACTAAAAACTCTTTACATGATAATGCATTGGGAATCAAACAAGAAAGTAGCATTGTTGCTCCTAAGTTTGAAAAATAAGTGATTCTATGCATGCACAGGGTAGTTCATAACTTCAAACCCTCCCCTGCACGTCCCCTCATCCAAGTATATAACTGCCCTAGCTCATTTGCCAATTCATTTCACTCCAAGCAATCTCTTATTCTATCAGTACACTTGCCAATACAGCAAAATTTTCTTTAAATTCATTATCTTTCTTCAGGTGAGCCCTTATTCTTCCTTCATTGAAGATTTCTTAATGCCTTCTCTTATGTGCTTGGTTTTTATGCCGCTTTGGTATAGTACTCGATTGGTCTAGACAATGCATAGACGGGGTTATGTTGTGGCTAGAATTCGTATTTTTCTTCTTACTACTATTGGCTTTCTATTTTTAGATACAAACATACAGTCAATGAGTAGTGGAGATTGGATGTGTGCTGCATGCCAGCATCTCAACTTCAAGAAACGCGAGTCGTGCCAACGATGTAGCTGTCCTAAATATGCCACCGAAGTCGATGTGTCTGCTTATGGGATAAACAGAACAGAAGTCTTAGCTGGAGACTGGTATTGTAGCGCTTTGAATTGCGGTTCACATAACTATGCAAGCCGAACGAGCTGCTATCGATGTGGTGGATCAAGAGATTATTGTGGATACGACGCTGGAATGACGGCACCTGCTAGTTATGCATACGACACTAGTGTGCTCCCTGGATGGAAAACTGGCGACTGGATTTGCACCAGGTAAATCCATTCCTTCTTTAACATCATAATCTTTTAAATGAGATGGTTCAACAACAAGTTCAAGTTAACTTTGCGAGTATAAAAGGAGAGGAGTTATACTACACAACTAAAAGGATATTGACATCAACACACACCACACAAGTGCGCATACACACACACGAATAGAGACGCATTTATGTGCACGTACAAACAAAGGGAGTTTAATAAGTGAATAAGATATGAGTATGTAATTTCATTGGATTTCTATATCTAATATGAGTGTATTTTACATATGACCAGATTAGGATGTGGTGTGCACAATTATGCTAGCAGGACAGAGTGCTTTAAATGCAAGACACCTAAGGATTTTGGTAAGCAATTTACAATAAATGCTAGCTACAATGTTGTAACAATCCAAGCATTTGCTCAAGCCGTTAACTCATATGTAGTGTCTGTTTTGGAAATGTCTATGCTCATCTTACCCTTCTTCAATTTATTTTGCTCAATTGGTACTAAAATTCAACTTGACTTTCTCATAAGGTAGAGGGGCATCATGGGAAACGTGAAAGAAATAAGGATAAGATGGACACATACTCTCCCAAAGTGAATAAGACTTGTCATTTAATAGGGGGCACATGCCTGGATCATCACAAATATGGTTTCTTGATTCAAGAAACTTATATATTTCTCCTTTTTCTTTTTCAGGAGGAGCACTGTGAGAAAGTGAACTAAGCAAGAACTACATTTATTGCATCAGAGAATGACTAGAAGTTACAATCCTTGACAACTCTCTCTAAGGAACTCGGCAAAATAGCATTGTAACTTCGAGAGAGTTTTATTTTCTTTTTCCATGTACTTCTTCAAATAGTTAACTCAAGAAGGATTTCTTACTTCACTGAGTGGTGCAACGTGTTTTCATTTTTTATTTTTTTTTTTACCCTTCACGCATTTGATTGATGATATTTAGTTAGGCCTATGCAGAAATTCAAAGGCATCGCCACAAGATTAGCTATGTAGTGTAGTTTAATATTGTTTACCAAATGTTAGGTTAAGAGCAGAGTTCAATAAGATTCAGAAGATGTTAAGATTCACAGAATCTGTATTAGTAGTTCAATTCTTATTCTTGTGCAACAAAGGATTGGTTCCTTTAGAACAGCATAATACCAACTCGCATGAAAAGAAATCTTAATAATTCACACTGGATAAGAACTAGATGCTCCCTCTTTATGAGCAACTACGAAGAGAGTCAATTGTAACTTTTTTTTCTCAATTGGTTTCTCAATTCTTTGGGCCCTCGACTTTGATCAAATGATCAAGCGAAGAAAAATTATTCGCCTTTTCCTTTTCTTTCGGTCCGCTAGAACATCGCATTTGTTTAGGATAATGCTGATCTTGGGAACTAAAGTAAGCTAAAAATCTGTCCAAAATAAGCTAAAATGTCTTGTTTCTGAGGCATAAATTTGGTTCTCCACATTTTGACTTGATGAAATGTTTGAAAAGAGATAGAATGCTGCTAGTGGTGGTCCTGAGAAAGATTTGTTTATGTTTTGTCCCCCCACACCCCATCTCATCTCAAAACTTTGAAAAGATTCACTGGTCCTTGATACCTTAGCTGCTACAATATCACATGCTTTGGGGTGTTAAGACATGAAACAATTGATTGGTTTCATGAGACTAAAATTGGTTCCCTGGCCTATGTCCTGGGTCCCACTGAAGCTGCAGCCGCCTCCTCCGCTCACCGCTTGTCGAGCCACCGGCAATCACTCTTCCACGTTGTGTCTGTAGCTCATCCTCATCAATTGCATCCAACACTTTTCGTTGTTGTGTCATTACACTAGTCATTTTTGTTTAAACAAGTCCATATATTTATGGAATTGAATTATACACACGTGTGCGCACGCGCGCACACACATAACTATATATTGTTTGACTAATCCAGTGTTATAGAATCTAAAATTTTGATTTAAATGCGAGTTTTTTCGATTTTGAAAATTTTCACATGACTCGCTCGTTTCTTGTTTATGATGGTTATAAATATGAAAATAGACTTTTTTTCGATATAAAGAACATGTATAAAGATTTGTTAATTTTACAATTAAAGGATTCTGAAGCTGATATTCATTGATTAGCAAAATTGATATAAAAAAATTGACAATATTAACATACTATTGATCAAATTATATTCATTCAAAAAAAAATAATAAAATAAAAAAATCCGACTGTGAAATAACTCCTAAACTATTCGATAGAACAAAAATCCCTAGTTTACTAAACTATAGGAATTAAATACGTCGTGATCCTTGCATCCATCTTATTAAAAATAATAATAACGAATGAACAGGATTAAGATGAATATGAATAAACATGGAAGTTTAAGGATTTGGATGCAATTTAAATCAAACTGGAACAATTCGAGCCCATTGGTGCATAAAAGGCTCATTTCCCTTTCAAACACAAGCGAAAATCCAAACTCTGCGAGAACTCTCTAAATCGTTTCAAAAACTCAAACAAAAGTCTGATTCTTGAAGGATTTTGATAATTTCTGCACAGGCTATTCGAACTCAGATTTAAAATTTTGATAATTTGCGAAGAGAAAGAGGGAATGAATCTTGAAGAACTTTAGTGTCTTGTAGAAGTACCTGATTAATTAGGGTTGAACAATTAAATCGTTAAACCATAAAATCGAATCGAAATCGTTGGATTTGATCTACGTGGATTCGTCAATGCTTTGATTTTGAACCGAACGAAACTATTTCGAAGTGTTTTGATTTATATTTCAATCTTTACAAACCATTTCAAACTGCAAAATCATTTCTTAGAAAGGGGTAAATTAATAAATTTTATCCAACCAAATTAAAACAAACACATCTCAGTTAATGCATTCATATAAAACATAATCCAATTAAACTCAATACCAAAAGAGATAACTATCCATCCCAATTAGTTAATTAAATCATATCCAATTACCCATCGATCATCACAATTGTGAATACAAAACCCTCAAATTGGTTGAAGTGTTGAATTGCTGCTATATCATATTCATTGATCGTTCATTATAATTGAGTAGACAATTAAATTTGAATTTTAATTTAGACTCACATTTCTTTTCCCTTTTTTAATAATTTTCTCGAATTCAGACTAGTTAATCCAAATTTTCTTATTTTTTGGTAACTGATTTATTTTTTTGTTTCTCCTTTTTCCGATCAAGTCACTTGATTAATTATCATATTTTAACTTAGTTTTTAGATTTTATTGTTAACGGAATGATTTAGTTGATTACTTAAACAGTCGTTTTAAAGATTTGACCAATGAGTCTTTCAACATATTATTTTGGTGAAAATTGAATGCCAATAAATATAAGATTGTCCCTCAAAAGCAAGATTTTTGGAAACTAACAATTCCATTTAGTTCGCTTTCGAAAAACTTGCTGGTCACGGATTAGTTCGTTCTGCGTCGACAGCGGCCTAAAATCAAAGGCGCAGGTTGATTGGCCCAAATTACTAAAGATATATTGGTTATTCAAATATTCATAATCATTTTTGAGTTTGCATTCCTTACTAAGGGTCGAATTCTTGATTTTTTTAGAAGTTCGCTGAGTGCTAATATGGTTGAGGCCGTGATTTGTCCTAAAATTTGGTTGTGCAATAATAAGGAGCTTATAGTGATTCATTAATATTTGAATGAAATAGAAGTATTGAATGATTCTCAAAAAATTATAAAAGATAATATCGTATTTGATTTTTCTAATCACTGGTGCTTACGATAAGATGAGCACCTGTGATTTGCTATATTATCCTAAGAACCGGTAATATACCATATTAATTAATTGGTGGATAAAGATTTAGTGACACATCATCGATGTTTAGGATAATATTAGTATCGATGTTCATTAGATTATTTGTCTCTCTTTCTATATATATATTTGGAAAATTTTATTATTTTTCATGTTCGTATTATTTATTTTACAATGAAAATTTTGTCAAATTTTATATCTAAAAAAAAAGTCAAAATTAGCATTGATAGTGGGTTCCAAGTAGGTGACCCCCAATAGGGGGTGACACATAGGGCCCTGGACGTCTAGGGCCTTGTCACCTAAGAATAACCCGTGGGTTCCTTGCCCATTTGATATCCATCATTGGTATATGTTACATTTCGTGTAGAATAGGATAATTTGGAATGGATCATGTCACTTGATCATTCTATCCAGACAAAAGTTAGAAGTTGAGGACAATTTTATAAAGATTGGCAACCTACGATGCAATTTTCCTAAGTTTTCAGACACAAAATATGTGGCTATACAACAAAACAACAATGTCCAGCCCCAAAAGCCGGGGGTAGTGGGGGGCGGGGGAATCCACTTGTCACTATTACATTTCACAAACTGAATTGAGTCACCACCTAACCTCCAATCTTCACCTCGTTAAACGCGACTTATGGACAACCAAATTCAAGGATCATGCTCTGTTCTTCAACTAATGTTACAACCCCCCTCTCCAAAAGGACCAAAATCCAAACCCTTTCTTCTATCCCCCTCCACCTCTGTACGATGAGCCTAATCTCTCATGCCTTTGCAGGCAACCCTATAAGGTCAAGAACCCCAAAACAAACTGACCCCTTTTCTCCACAATCTGCATTTCAGACTCTCAAGACCCTCCTTTTGGGCCACGGTCAAGTACCCATTTCCCCTTATTTCAAGGTCTTGCCTTTCAGAAAGGGAAAGCCTTTGGCCGGGACGACGGCCGATTCTCCTGCCGATGGGCCTAATTGGCATCTGGGGTGGTTGAGTTTGAGGGAGTGTAAGGATTTCTTGGAGAATTCAGAAGTGAGTCTCAGTGAGGATTCGTTGGTTTATTTGGGTTGTAAGTACGAGGATGATGCTGTCTATTGGGCTATTGACGTGTCTGATGCTAGCGAGTTGGTGAGTGAATTGGGGGCTAGACAGTTTTGCTTTGTGGAGTTAAGGACTCTTATGGTAGCCACTGATTGGGCTGATGCAAAAGCAATGGGTGAGCTTGCGGTTGCTGGCCATGTAAGTTTTGCTTTTCCAAGCATATAAGTATATGTTTTTTCGGTTTTTATCTTTAGCCGCCGTTTGGCCCCCATTACTCGATACTATAATTTTTGGAATAATAATTCTTTTTTTTTTTTTTGGGAGAATGTGGAGATGAAAAAGAAGAAAAGTTTTTGATTTATGAGTAATATTCTTTTGTTGGAAAATGTGTGGTTAAAAAGAAGAGAGCAAAATGAATTATAATTGCATTTGCCTCTGCGCTATGATTAGATTGACAACTAACCATAATTGCTGCTTGAGAACCATTGTCAAGCTGAGAAATGGGTTGACAAAATTTCAAGAAATTCCATTTTGGCTACTAACCTTCATTTTGGCCGCTGAATTTAAATGTATTTGTTACAGTTCGGTCATTCTGTCTATTTCTGTTAATTGGACTGATGGAAAAGCTGATGGGACAGTCTTGGCTTAGTTGACAAATGACTATACTACCACATTTCTCTTTCCGTTAGAGACCAAAGATATGGACAGACTGACTGAATTTGTAAAAAAGTTTAAGTTTGCGATGAATATGAAACAAAACGAAATTTAATGATCAGTGTGAAATTTCGCTGGAAGTTTATTCATCACCAGTGTATATTAGCAGCAACACTTTACAGCAAGGGAATAGGTCCTTAGTGGCTTTAGCATCATGTCTTTGTGAAAAAAGACAGCTTGATGTTGAGTGATGATCTACAGCTCTCTTGATTGACTGCCATGGAGTAAAAAATAAAAAGACGAGTTCTTTATGCGTGACCTAGAATTCATCATTATAATATTGTTTGAACTTAAAAAGTAGAAGAGACATAATAAAAAAATTGGATTTATTTTCAATATTTCCCAATGGAGGAGAGGGTAATGTAGTGATGATAAATTGATAATAATAATTTGTGTGGAGCGTTCTAACTTGTAAGGCTAGAGTATTAAAATAACAATCGAGTTTGATAATAGAAGCAGAAGTCAAAGAAAACTTGCCAAAGGAAAAGTATTACGAAAACCACTGACTACTAGCTTATTCACTTGGAGCGCTTCCATAATTTTGTCCCGTTATAAGATTCTTTCACATTAATTTTGATGGGTCATTTTAGTAGGTGTCAAAGTGAATACCTGAGTATATGGGTTTGGTCGTGTTTTCACATTCCTTTGTGGGAATAACCTAAACTTTAAGCCATGGAAGAAATCTGAAGGCGACTCAATAATTTATTGGCGATATACTGGCACTGCCACGGTGCCTATGTGCTTAAAAAATATAGTTATGCCTGTTGCGAAGCCGACACAGAGATGGCTTGTTTTGTTCACCTATGGATTTTTCTCTCATCATCCACAGAGAAAATACTGGTTTCCCAATTCACCCAATGGCTGCTGTAGTTAGAACTTTTTTCAAACGCAAGCAATATGTATGATATTGAGCTTGAGCACCCATTATTAGATAATTGGAAAATTGAAGACATTCTTATTTAGAAGGTGATGAGGCATGTAGTTTGAGTCAGACCTGATGCTGACCCAACATCTTTAAAATCTTGAACGTGATCATTTTAGAGGAAACTTCGATGTTCAGAAGAATGCTTACTGAAAGTTCTATTTCCTGTCACCTGATTTCCACTTTAAGATGCTCGCTACCAATCTCCAAAGGCTGTAGCTTATTGTGTAAATTCTCTCATTTTTATTTGGTCAGGCCAGAGCCCTGATAGAATGGCATAAGGTAGCTCGTTTTTGTGGGTTCTGTGGAGGTAAGACTATCCCTATGGAAGCTGGGAGACGAAAGCAATGCTCAAATGAGTCGTGCAAAAAGAGGATTTATCCTCGAGTTGATCCAGTATGTGATGTGACTTTTCTTTCTCATTACCTGAAAATTTCATGTCATATGAATCATTCTCTGATTGTTGTAATGAACAGGTTGTGATTATGTTGGTCATAGATAAAGAAAATGACCATGTTCTATTAAGTCGACAGTCGAGATTTGTGCCTCGCATGTGGAGTTGCCTTGCTGGCTTTATAGAGGTAAATAGTTGGTCCTTCTTTTTTATTGAGCCACTTTTTATACACTGAATTGTGGAACTTGTTTATCTAATCATATCAATCTGAGGAAGCAGTTTATAATGTTTATTTTGGTTATCCACATCAATTATCATATTCACTGTTGAAATGTTCGCACTATAATTTCCTCATTTTTGTCTCTTTGCACTTTGCACTTTGCCCTTTATTCTTTTTCCATTTTTGTCTACCATATGACTATAATTATTGTCATCAGCCAGGAGAAAGCTTAGAAGAGGCAGTGAGGAGAGAAACGTGGGAGGAAACTGGCATTGAAGTTGGTGAAGTAAAATACCACAGTTCTCAGCCATGGCCCGGTACAGTTAACTTTGCCATGTTCCACTTTCCTTTCTATTCGCATTTCCAACTTTTTTTATGGTTGATTTTGCAAGATGATGATTGCTACTTGGTTTGATATAAATTAGCAGATGAATAAAAATAGACCTCAAGACAATAGAACATACAATAATTTTGGCTTGTGACTAGCAAGAGAAAGTGAGAGACTTGGATATAACTCCGGCTTACACGTGAAGGGGCATATTGAATACATTGCATAGATGATATACATTTGAACTAAATAACTGCTCAAGTTTTTAGATAAATTTGTTCCACACTAATCATATTGCACTAAATCTTGCTGCATCAATCTGTCACCTCTCTAATGGTTTAAGCTTTTAAATGAGGTAGGTAATTAGGTAAACTTGATGTCAGAACAAAGAGATCTTGAATTCAAGTCTTGCCACCATCCATTAGTAGAAGTTCTAAATGTGTTGGACGCTTGATAAAAAATGAACCTCGCCTCTGGAGAAGTGCAAAAAAAATTAATAATAATAAAAAAAAAAATGAATATATACTCTGACCACTTCAGCTTTTGAATAAAATGATGTTATCTTTTTGGACACTGCACATGCATACCTTTATGGCATGTTTGACCATAGTATTGTTCAATACAATTACACCTTCTGTGAATGGTAATGGTCCAATGCTACCCCTATCTTTGCATCTATAAATTAACAAATTTACATTAAAATGTAAGTAAATTAGGTTGGCAAAGTAAGAGCGCTACTAGCTTTCTGAGCATGGTACAAGACAATCAAAAACAACATGGCCACTAATCGGCTCGTGATAATTGTATCTTTAAGCATCATTGGGAGCTAGTATTGGACAATGCTCCTCGACCTTTCAGTTTAAGGTTGAGCTAAAAGATTAGAAACATAAAAAATTTTAATTTCCTTTTTCTGGTAATGTGATTTTGACATTTTTATTTTATTTTTGTTCCAGCATGTCATGCTTTGTTTTTGGAACCAAAAAGTAAGGGAAAGGCAAAAAAATTGCGGATTAAGACTAAACATAATGGAAACTTTAGTTATCTTCTCAAAAGTATCAAATCTTAGTGTGGATATGTATACATTGCCCTTAAAAGAGCTCTGAGGAACATCCTAATTAAGATGTATATTATAAAGTTTCAAGAGAACTGAATATTTCAACTAAGGCTAAACTATAGGAAATAGGGCTGGGCAAATCTCCCGAACCGAACCGACCGAACCGAACCCGAACCGAACCGATCCGAACCCGACGGTTCTTGTCAAATTAAATACCCGAACGGGTATTTGAATTGAGAACCGACGGGTACGGTTCGGTTCTCGGTTCTAGACCAAGAACCGAAGAACCGAATAAGAACCGAATCTTTCTAATTTTTTTTTTATATTGAGTAAATCAAATTATTTTAATTTTAATTTTTTCTAAACAAATTAACAATTTCTACATCCAATTTTTTGGCCCAATAATTTGTTTCATTTCTAATTTTTTAATTTTTGGCCAAATTACCCATTTTATTGTTTCATTTCTTAGCCAAACAAATCAAATCCACTAAATAACCCTAAGCACCTACAATAAAGTGCATAACGTTATCTCGACTCTCGCAGCCTATCTAATATTCCAAAACCTATACAATCGTCGGCCGACACTCTGACCTCCGATCGAAGCCGTGACTTTCCCCGACTGAAGCTTTGATCGTAGCGATCATTTGAACAAGATAGTTTACTAATCTCTGACATTCCAAAACTATTGAATGTATCATTAGTCGTATTTATATAACGTTGTTATAAATGTTAAAAAATTTAATTATAGTACAGAACCGAACGGAACCGAACCGATCCGAACCGAACCGAATGGAACCGAACCCGAACGGTTCCATAAATATATTTGGACCCGACGGTTCCATTTACTAGATACCCGAAAAGTTTGGTTCGGTTCGGTTCTAAAGAGAACCGAACTGAACCGACCCGCGCCCACCCCTAATAGGAAATTATCATATTGTTAAGTGCTAGGAAGCATGAACATTTTGCCAGGGAAAACCATGGTGTAAAAAATAAAAAATTAAAAAAAATCCATATCCTGTAGAGGGCGTTTTTTAATTTGTAGTTAACATTATTACATATTTGTAGTTAACATTAGTCCTGTAAATTCGATTTGCATATGATGGAAATGGGGTTTACCAGTGCAAATGGATAGTAGTTTTCTCATTGCATCTTGTTTTCGGGCTAACAGTTTTTTACTTGGTTTCTCCTCAGTTGGGCCCAGCAGCATGCCATGCCAGTTAATGGTTGGGTTCTATGCTTATGCCAAGTCTTTGGAGATAGACGTGGACAAGGAGGAGTTAGAAGGTACTTTTGTTATACTGATGGATTCTAAATGAACTTCCCTTTCCACAGTTTTATTTTATACCACAGCAAATTTCTCTCCTGCCAGTTTGATGAAAAATTAATCGACAGATTAACCATACTCATGCTTACACTTCCCGTGCACACATGCAAAGGGGTTTTCCATGTGCACGTCTAAATTAGTATCCACTCTCTTGTGCTCACAAAGACACTTCCTACCTCCATTGCACAGACACTTCAACTAGGGTAGCATGTCTGTATTCGACACGTGTCATGTGTTGGATACTGACACTCTTTGAACACTTGACCATGACCTTTTTTTTTATTTTTTTTAGAAATATTATATATTTTTAATTCAAAGGACCGGTGATTGTGAGGATCCAATTCTTGACTGGAGGGGACACCAAATGCCTCTACCCTTCCATCCTTGGATGGATAGAGAGGGAGGGCAGAGCTTTTGGTCACGTGTCGGACACTGGCACTCCTTGAACACAATATCATGGTAACTTTCCCTTTTATATTTGAAACATTCTATTTTTTTAACTTAAAGTTGATATTAAATAAAAAATATGTACTCATATTTAAAAGATTTCAACAAAAAAATTAATAACAAGTATAAACTAAATTTATATTATATGGATGAAGAATTTTAAAGAATTTAGTCAACATGTCGATAATGTGTTGTGTCAGTATTTTCTTGAAAAATTGTGTGTTAATGTATCGGGTACGTGTTGTGTCGGACAAACATGACCATGTTAGTGCATCATAGCTCCCTACTGTCAAATAATGTGGTGGTTATCTTAAATTTTTTTCCTTTCCTCAGATGCTAAATGGCACACTCGAGATGATGTAAAGAAGGCTCTTACATTTGCTGAATACAAGAAGGCGCAAAAGACGACAGCAACTAAAGTAGACCAAATGTGCAAGGGGGTTGAGAAAGGGCAAAACTTGTCTGCAGATTACACTGTCGAAAGTGGGGAACTTGCAACTATGTTTATCCCGGGACCATTTGCAATTGCTCATCATCTCATCTCATCGTGGGCCAATCAAGTTGATGATAATGGTAATGGAGCACAGATGAAACAAGCTGGCAATTCGTTCTCAAGCTTGTAGTTTCAGAGCGAAACGATTGTCTATTACGAATGTTCCAAAAATGTACTATTTTATGCAGGTGTCGACTTGTAAATCCTATCATTCCTTTTCGCAATGTTGTTTGCGTAGAGAATGTGTATCTTTTACTTTCTAACTTTAAAATCTCATCATTTACGAAATACATCAGTATTAAATTCATTTTATATTAAAATCTTTTTCTTTACAAGGCGTACGACTATAAGACTATATAGTTCACTTTACCAAGCAAGCCATTAAAGTTTGTGATTCAAGTTACAACTTTTATATGCGGTTGATGAAGATTTTTTTAGCTGTGTCACACTTACCCGAAAGTCGAGCAGTGACATTGAATATGCTTTAAACCATCTCCAGGTGTATGTTTACCTACTCGTTATATTATGTACAAATTTGCTTATTATCTCTATAGAATATGCAAATAAGGTTTTACTTCGTACATTTGTATTTATACCTTGCCAAGTCCTGTTAAATTGCTATGCATCTTAGCATCAGAGTGTGCTCATTTGATTGTCGATCGAGCTAAAGAATCCATAGAGCCGAGACATCTCTTAAGAAGAGGATCATCTCGAGGCAGAAGTCCTTGGGAACTCTTCCATACAAAAGATGAGCATATCCTAACAAGTCTCTTGTAATGAAAACCATCATACTGGACAATTTAATAGATAGGATGTTAAGTCCTTCGTTGCTATGTAATCCTCTCTATGGAACATATAGTGATGTATTTTCAAGTGTTTGTTGATTCTTGATCATCTTTTAGCGGCTTACCAAAGCGAACACATCAATAACAGAGCTAGTACACAAGTTCGTCCTAGCGTTTAGGTTGTTTAAACAAAAGATTCTAGAATGAGACTGGAACGAAAAAATAACTTCTTTGCATAGGACTTTGGGAATGAATCTCTCAAGTAAAGGAAAATGACGGTATTCTTAAAATGGGGGATTTAGAAGGAGATTTTGCAGAGGTTGCTATTTTCTTGCAACTAATTTTAGACCAACATTAGCTAACTACTCTGACCATAGTAGTGATTACATATATAGTGCTTGTTTAGCATGACTTTTAAAAAGCCAAAAGGAACTTTAAAGGATCAAAAGTTGCTATTAAACTGTTTGCCTAATTTTATAAAAGTTATTCTTCTCATTAGTAGTGCTTTTAGAGGAAGTTAATTGTGATTTTCTCTAAAAGTACTTTTGTAAGAGGGTTTTTTTAAAAATTACTTTTTAAATAAAACTTAAGATATCTACCTCCTAAAAGCAAAAGTCATGTCAAAATGGCTCATCTCGTCCTGGCTAACATACTGATCGGCTCTATTTGCCAAGACGGGCCCTAGAGTACTGAAACAAATTGGGCCCGACATGGTCTGGTACAGAACATTGGTTGGGCCGGTCCAGCTAGCACAAGAGTACCGGCCCAATTCTGTTGAGGCCTTTTACTGCCATTGCTCCCAAATTCAGGTTCCTCTGATTCGTAAATCTTCGCAGTATCAGTGGAGTTTGAAGAATCTGAAAACCCTCACTGAACACTGATTTCACTGAAACTGATATAAAATGGCCGTTTTTATCAAAAGACTGAGCAAGGCTGCACCGATCGCATTCGGCGGCACCAATTTCCGCGTGCCTTTTGGGGCTCTTGCCACGATTTCTGGTGGCTTCTCGTATTATTACTACTTTTCGTCGCCAAATTTGGTATTTTCGTAATCCAGTTTCATCTCTGTCTAATAATGTCGACTGTAAAAGTCGTGGCTTTGAATTTAATATATATTTTCATTTTGTTGATGCTGTTATTTAATTAGTGTATTTTTGAGCTTGAATTCTCTTGTTCTAGTTCTATAGATTTTTCTTTAATAATAATTAATGTGAAATTTGTGATAGCGAGGACACTGTAATGTACTTATTTTCGGCCGAATTACTTGTTATTTAATACTGTGGAATGATCAATTCCCATTTTCTGGATATTATTTTTTCTGGCTTAGATATTTTTGTATAATGTCGTATTCTTTTTAATTCAGGTTTATTTAGATCCGCTCAGTGAAGATAGTTCTCCAAAAGTTGGTGGGTTCTCCTCTCCTTTCTACAATTGTTAATAATTTCAATCTTGATTCACGTCTCAATTATTTCTTGTGGTCATTGAATCCAAATCTAAGTCAATTACACTGCTGTAACAGTACTTGTACTTGCAACTGGGATGTATTGGCTGAAGCAACTATTTCTTTTTATACAAATGCATTTGGTTAGCAACTCATATGAATGAAGGTATCTACACTAGCAACATGGGCTTGCATAACTCATCTCACAAGTTTGTGGAGTAAGGAGTTTATCCCTTTAGAGGTGCAGTGTGAAGAATTCAAATTTTGCACCTTTGAACTTGGATTAAAACAAAAAGAAATAAAAAAATTCTAAGAAATAATATGGACCAGTATGATTGTGAAAGATTTCCTGTCCTTGAACCTTGAGATATATCTGATTGCGGCATGCCGTACCTTGAAGTGAAGTGACTTTGTGGTTTATGATATTGACTTTCTTTGCTAGATTTAAGTAACCTTTTCAAATTTAAAGAGATGTACACAAACATGCATTAAAATCTGGACTAGTTGATTCCTCTACGCACCTCTGTGCATGTAGTTCAGAAGCATCAAGTTTTGGAATTCAGGGAGAGGCTTATGGAGCCAAAGAATGTCTAGAAGTCCATCCTTTCACCCTTACGTCATGGACAAACTGGAAGGTCGAAATCAAGTCGTGAATATGACCTATAGAGAATGCTCTTGAACGTTGTTGCTTTTGATTATTTTGTTGAACTCGGTTAGAATATGCTATGTTATGGAGATTTCTTCTTTAGTCCCCAGCCTATATCTTATGAGCCTTTGCACTCACAGACACTCATATAATTTGGCTAAATAAATTCATGTAATTTGAAACTTTCGCTGGTAAGTTAAACATGTAGCTGAAAGCCATAAATTGTTTGAAGAATATGTGATGTAGTATCAATAACAGAGAAAGAAGAAGGGGGGGAGGGAGGAGCCGGAGAAGAGAGGAGAATACGGAGGAGGGAAAAGACGGCTGCAAGCCAAATCCTTAATTAATCAAATTCATCAACTCAAATAACAATGTAAGATAGGTTTAAATACTGAAAATAATGCAGACCTAGGGCTAAGCCCAATACACAAGTCCATAAAATTAAAATAACCTAAATTCCAACTAAAATAATTAAAATTGCTAAAATTAATTAAAATTGGATGTCCTCATCAATTCTCCCGGGGTGGGAGAGAAAACTCGACCCTGTCGAGTGGCTAAATCACCATAGGCATCTGTCAATCTCCCAACCATAAGCTGAGTGGCTGGGCAAGCTTCTTCCTGCGTCTGTAGAAATGCGTCAGTGGCGGTCTGAACCTGGTGTCCTCATCAACTCCCCTCGGGTGGACGGGGGGCGATCTGGGCCAAGGAAGATCCTGCTGACTCCGATAAAGCTCTAGCAAATCTGGATCCAAATGCTGTAGTGTCTCCCTGGAGATCCATGCACAATCAGAATCTGGTCGACCAACCCAACGAACAAGGAAGCGCTGAACCTCTCCATCATTAGTGAACACAGTTTCTTCATCTAAAATAGCATCAATTTTATCTGTGTGTGCTGTGAGAGGTGGTAGTGGGTTAGAGGGGGCCAAAGAATTAGGATCAAGGTCCACAAAAGGAGGTAACAGGGGATCATCTGAGGGAATGAAATG